CCTTGAAAACTTTCACTCAATTCACAATAAAAGTTTAAAAAAAAAAAAAAAAAAGTAAAGGGAACTAATATGGCACAGTAAAATTCAATAATGTCACCAATCAATTTTCATAAGTGGTTATCCATTTCAAAGAAATGGAAATTTCACAGTAACCCACAACATATAAAACAATAAATTATATAGGAAATTGTTTATAGAAAAGGTTGTTTTTTTTAAATATAAATGTTAACCTGAAGTCCATACAATTTATAATAGCTGAAGAATTTATTTTGTTTCTAAAATAGATACTAGATCAGTGGGAATGACATAGAGAAGTACCTAGTATGATGAGAAATATCTGATCGTTCAATCAGTGGTGTTAGGAGAGTAGGGTATCCATATGTAGATAAAAGAAACCACTTCCTCAAATTATATTACAATGACAAATTCTTTCTAGCTTAAGATCATAAATGATAAAAGTCCAAATAATTAGAAGATGTTATGGGAGAGAAGAAATTATTAAAAAGTCCTAACACATGCTTCAAGTCAGTACCCAGAAAAATGCCTATTGTGACATACCATTTAACATACCTTCAGACTGACAAAAAAATTTTAAGTTAGAAAACACCAAATGTGATGAACAAAGTAAAACGTAGTGAAATGGGAATCACAAACTCTACTCTTAGGAGTTTTCAATATTACTATCACTTGATAGAGTAATTTGTTAATGGTGCTGCAGGGTAATGCACTGGACCATAAGTCAGTTTGAACCGAAAGGTCGACAGTTCAAACTCACCTGCCGCTTCTTGGAAACCCTACACAGAGTCATTGAGTTGGAAGCAACTGGATGGCACTTAACAATAACAACAAAATATAAAAGTGTGTGTGCTATACAACCACCACTCATCTGTCAGTTTGTCACACTGTAGTGGCTTGTGTGTTGCCGTGATGCTGGAAGCTATGGCACCAGTACTTTAAATACCAACAGGGCCACCCATGGTGAACAGATTTCAATTTTGGTTGAGCTTCCAGACTAAGACAGACTAGGAAGAAGGAGAGACAAACCACTTCTGAAGTGTTATCCACTGAAAACATTATGAATAGGAACAGAACATTGTCTGACACAGTGCCTGAAGATGAGCCCCTCAGGTTGAAAGATACTCAAAAATATGACTAAAGAAGAGCTGTCTCCTCAAAATATACTTGACTTTAAAAGATTTGATATGGAAGAAGTAAAGCTTTTGGGACTTTCATTTAGTGATGGAGTTCAAATCAAAATGAGAAGAAACAGATGCAAACATCCCTTGATAATTGGAACAAGGAATGTACTAAGTATGAATCTAGGAAAATTTGAAGAAGCCAAAAATGAAATGTAATGCATAAAGATTGATATCCTAGGCATTAGTGAACTGAAATGGACAGGTATTAACTATTTTTAACCAACTAAGTACATGGTTTACTGTCCCTATAATGACATGTTGAAGAGGAATTAATCTTCATTCATCAGCAAAAAGAACATTTCAAGATCTATCTAGAAACACAATGCTGTCTGTGATCGGAAAATATGTATAGGATACAATATCAGTGCATACATATTAAGAAAAAGTAAGAAAAGATGCAAAGGCATAATAAACAAATCCAAGATAGTTATTATTTCTCAGGATAGAAAGATGGAAAGGAATTGAAGAAGGTAAGTCTTAAAATAAACTTAAGTCAATATCACAGAATGTGATGGTGGTTATTACAGAAGGTTTAACTTAGTTGCTTTCCATATTCCTGAAAAGTTTAATTAAAGTTCCAAAAGCTATTTGTGTTGTTGTTGTTGTTAAGTGCCAACTAGTCAGTTTCGACTCATAGTGATTCTATATAGAGTTTCTGAAGAACAGCTGGTGGGTTTGAACTGTCGACCTTGTTAGTAGTCCAGCATTTATCCGACAGCAGCACACAACCTTTTAAAAATGAAAGAAAACTTTCAGTACTGAATGATTCTATTTTGTAATTTCTCTAGGTGAAATTGTTTCTGCATATTATCTTTTATATAAATATGTACACAAATTTATATACATTTAGCATATATTATAGGAGTCCTGGTATGGCATTGTGGGTTAATGTGTCAGACTGCAAAGTCATTTGAACTGCAAGGTCAGCGGTTCAAGCTCACCAGCTGGTCCTTGGAAACCCTGTACAGGATTGCTATGGGTCAAAATCAACTCAACGGCTCTAACAACAACAACAACGTAGATAAATGTATACAACATATAAAATTTAACAGCTAAAATATTTGTTAGGTGCCATAGAGTAGATTCTGACTCACAGAGACTTTGTGTGGGATTTCCGAGGGGCAGCCAGTGAATGTGACCCACTGACCTTGTGGTTCGCAGTCCAGTGCTTATCCAGCCGTGCCACACCTCATAATGGGATTTGTACCAACATATGTATTATTTTAACAAATCTGACATAACTGTGTCTCAGTTAGATCAGTCCCAAGGTCTGTTCAATGGTGTTTCGTCCTGTACTTTTGTTTCTGACCTGAGGCACACTCACATCCCAGCATAGAGGGTCCCAGGATCACCATCAATTATTGTTTACCGTGTGGCAAGTGTGTCATTCACATAAGTAAAGAAGTTTGTGTCTCTTGGGGAATAATCCATACAGTTCCATTAATTCACAACAGACAAACCTAAATCAAACTAGTTCATAAAATGGTATGAAATAGTCTGATACAAAAAGAGAGGACACATGCTGAAATATTTCAAGATATTTCTTATTTAGAATAATTCCTGTCACTGAATATATACTCAATCAATGTATATTGAATAAATTGATCTGAAAACCCAACAAACACACATCTACTGATGTTTTTCAGCTGTAGTTTTCTGAACTTCCTAGCTCAATCTAATCACCAAATAATGACAATCCAATCACCAAATAATGAATTGTTTATTGTGACTGTCCTTTTTCTCTAACTTCAATTTATGTTTAACTTTAAGCTAAAGATTCAGAGATAGAGAGATATGCTTGATGCATTATCATTTTGGACATAGTCTAAGATACTAGATAGATGTTTTCTTAGAATGAGTGTCTTTCCTTTAAACTTACACCTGTGTTACCACAGCCCTAGCCACTTCCTGTCTTTGATGGTGATTCCCCACTTGGTTCCTACAACAGAGCCCTAAGTTTTTGTACACTTCCCTCCAACTCTTCTCTCACTGTGGCTTCTCTCAGTGCACAGAAATACACTGCCGAGTCCCCCAGCTGTGAAACTGAGATGACAAGGTGGATGGATTTCATTGCTTTTTGGAAGTTCAATGAGTAGCGACCTTCTGTTGCATTGTGTTGGCTGTAAGAGTCCTGACGAATAAGGAAAATCATCTTCCCACTGCTGGGCTGCTTGTACCAGAATAAATAGAAAGTTGTATCACTGGTTTCATAAGTGCAACTCAGGACTGCAGCTTCCTTCTCGTTCACCGTCATTGTTGACTGGGCCTGAGTTACCTTCTGGGCAACACTGAATCCTGTAAGAAAAAAAGATTAGAATCAGAAAGTTTAAAGGCTAAATAGTATAGAACAAATCAATTCTATTTTTATATTGTGTTATCCTCTTTACCCAAAGTTCTCAGAAGACACTTTGTTCCCAAGCCTTAGGTTATATTGTTGCTGCTATTAAGTACTGGATGGAGCTCTGGTAGCGTAGTGGTTACGAATCGGGCTGCGAAACTTAAGGTCAGCGGTTCGAAACTACCAGCTGCTCCGCGGGAGAAAGATGAGGCTTTCTACTCCTGTAAAGATTTACACCCTCAAAAACCCTGTACAGGGTCGCTATGGGTTGGAACCGACTCGATGGCACTTAACAACAACAACATTAGGTACTGGTAAAGTCAGTTTTGACTCGTAGTGATTATATGTACAGAAGAACGAAACACAATCCTCTCCTTTGCTATCATCACAAGTGTTGTTATGCTTAAACCCATTGCTGTTGCTGTTGTTAAGTGCCATTCAGTCAGTTCCAACTCACAAGGACCCTATATAGGGTTTCCAAGGAGCAACTGGTGGAAAGACCAAAGACCTTTAGATTCTAACTGATCTTGAGATCCAGTGCTTATCCTACAGTGCCACACCAGGACGCCCACGAGTTTCATCCTTACCTAGGCACATTAAAGCTATGACCACCTTCAGCAGGCTGGAGATCCACATGTTAGAGTTCTTCCTCCTGAAGGAATACGTCATGCTCTTCAATTTCAGGGCTCTGCACTCTCGGGTGAGCTCTTCAGAGTGAGGAGAGAATTATTGCTTTATGTGCTGCTCCAACCCCACAACAGGAAGCAGTGTTCTTCTGGTATAACAAGTTGCTGTGTGTCATATCAAACTTCTGTATCATTGGCTGAGAGTCTAGTCTAATGCAAATTCATTTTAGATGAACAAATTAAATTTTCATAATAATTACATTTGTAAATAATCATGGATACATTTTTATATTGAAATAAAGATGTATGATTCAATCAATTTCTCAATTGAATCATTGAACCTATGATGGAACGACTAAAAGGGACATTTATTTTAAAATAATATATGTAAAAACTGATGTTCTCCCATTTAAACTATCACTCAATTCACAATAAATCTTAAAAATGTATGTAATGGATTATGGAAAACAGAGGTAATAAACATGTGTCTTCACACCTATGTACAATTACTTTTCCAGGCAGCAACTAAGGATTTTAAGATTTTATAATGTAATCACTATTAAATCTAGTGGTACACACTATCATCTACCTAAAAACATCCAACATATTTCTGTCAGTTAGTTGACTAGTTATGAAATATTATTAATTTTTCATAATTTTCAACTCTGGGAAATCTAATGATTGTGCTTCTGCATTAAAAAAAAGTCTGTCAAGAATCACTTTTTTAAGAAGTAAACTATACTTACAGATGATATCATATGATACATATAAAATCCCAGAGAATCATCCTGGAACTAGTGGAAGTAGTAGAAGGATTCAGCAATATGGCAGGGTAAAAGATCAACATACAAAAATCCAACTGACTTCTCTACACTAAGAGAACTCTGGAAAGAAAATCAGTAAAACAATACCATCTGCAATAACCACACAAAAGATGATGCACTTAGGAATAAATCTAACCAGAGAAACAAAATACCTATACAAAAAAACCTTCAAAACACTGCTACAAAAAAAATAATATATATATATACCTACATCAATGGAAGAATATATCATGCTCAAGGATAGGAAGACTTAACATGGTCAATACCACCCAAAATGATCCACAGATACAATGCAGTCCTGATCCAGATTCCAACATCATTCTTTAAAGAGATGGAAGAGCTAACACCAACTTTAAATGGAAAAGGAAAAGATCCAGGATAGGCAAAACATTACTCAAGAACGAAGTAGAAAGCTCACACCCCCTCCTATGTAACTATGCTAGTCAAAACAGCCTGGTATTGGTACAACGACAAACGCATAGCCCAATAAAACAAAACTGAGAACCTAGAAGTATATCCAACCACTTATGGACAGTTGGAGTCCTGGTAGGATAAGCTCTGAATAAACACTGGGCTGCTAAATGAAAAGTCAGTAGTTCAAACCCACCAACTACCCCTCATAAACTCTATATAGGGTCATCATAAGTCAGAACCAACCTGACAACACACAACAACAACAACATGGACAACTGATCTTTGACAAAGGATTGAAGCCCATTAAATAGTTTAATGGAGCTGGTCCACATTCAACTAATGGTGCTGGTCCACATCGTTCCTTGGTGAGTTACAACTGGGGCCTTAAAACTTGTGGGTTATCTAAGGTGCAGCTATTGGTCTCTCCCTGTCTGGAGGCAAAAAAAACTGAAGAAAATAAAAGAGACTTGGAAACAATTATTTCAAAGGACCAATGAACAACATGAACCTTAGCTTTCATGACCCTAAGACCAGAAGACCTAGAGGTGTCCAGCAATGACTACCTATCCTTCTGAAATGGGTCACATTAGAAGCCCTGGATAGAGTGGGAGAAAAATTAGGTCATAAAAAGACCAGGCTTACTAGTGAACTAGACAGTGGTGGAACCCTAAAACTATGACCCTTAGTCTCCCTTCAGACCTGGAACTGAACTTACCCCCATAGCTCAATTTTCAGCCAAATTATCATTTGGCCTGTAAGGGGAATAATAACACAAGGGAAGTAAACACTCCTTAGAATGATCAATACTTTGAAATCAAAATGGCAGCATTTGCCCAAGGACAAAGTTCATAAAGCAAGCAAGGTGAGGAAAGAAGGAGGAATGGATGGAAAACAGAGGGGAAGTAGAGTTAAGTGATGCTACATTGTGAAAATTGCAATCAATGACATGAAATAAAATGTGAATGAGTTGCTGAGTGGAAATTCATTTGCTCTGTAAATCTTC